ACGCGAAGCAAGTGCCCAAAACCACGATTGAAAACGCCCAAGCACCACCCTAAACCCCTAAACCCTGAACCCCTAAACCCTAAACCCCTAACCCTAAACCCTAAAACCTAAACCCAAAACCCCTAACCCTAAACCCCTAAACCCTAAACCCCTAACCCTAAACCCCTAACCCCGAACCCCTAAACCCTAAACCCCTAAACCCTAAACCCCTAAACCCTAAACCCTAAACCCCTAACCCCTAAACCCTAAACCCTAAACCCTAAACCCCAAGCAAAAGCCAGCTCGGCCCGGAAAGGTGAGTTCTGCATCAAGGGGTTGGAGCTGGCGATCACGCCGGCACCAAGTTGCTTCCTCGTCGGAGACTGGTAGGGTTTAGAGTTTAGGGATTTAGGGTTTAGGGTTTAGGGTTTAGGGTTTAGGGGTTTAGGGCCTAGGGTTTAGGGTTTAGGGTACCTGCCAGGTTCCGGATGCAAATGTCCATGAACATGAGTCAATTAAGACTGGCTACGGACCGATCCGAAAGAACCTGCAAGTTCAAGCCCACCAGGGTTCCCTCAAACACGTGGCTTGACTTGGAAGAACCAAGTGGTTCAAATGTTACGACCCTAGAGTGAGTTTCAAAAAACAAGGGGCCCTGACTGCGGATCCATGAATGATAGGTTCGTGTGCCTATGAATTCAGACACTGTGCCTGGCAGACACACGCTGCCTCTCCAGCGCCAGCTGTCGCTGCCTGAAGGACTGTCACTCATCGAGGTTCTTGGGGTTAGTTAGGGAAGAACGGGTCCGCTTCCAGGGTCCTTACAATAAGGATCCGACCATGTTAAGATCATGTCAGAGTCCCTTATGTTCTTTCACTTCTTCTTAGGCTACTGTCAGTATTTCTAAGAAAACCCCGAAAGACATGGCTCTGTTACAAGGAGATCACCCCATGGCTGACGAGGAATATTGGCCCTGAACCGAAGAGTGCAGAGATTCCCGATGGAAACCCTAAACCCTAAACCCTGAACCCTAAACCCTAAACCCTGAACCCTAAACCCTGAACCCTGAACCCTAAACCGTGGGAATTGCTGAAGTTTTGACCCGCCGGCCTGTTCATCTTAGCCTGAAGAGAGGCGGCACCTGCTCAAGCTGCACGAACAATTTAGGGTTGAGGGTTTGGGGTTATTTTTGAGGGTTTAGGGTTTATTTTTTAGGATTTAGGGTTTATTTTTTAAGGTTCAGGGTTTAGGGTTTACCGGTTCCATTCCACGCTGTCCTTGTCGCAGAGCTGTCGTGCTGATATCTCGAGGTCTGCACCCTGAAACTTTTAAGCTTGAGCGCAACATTCTGCACTCTGCATCCTGATGCCTATACACCCAAAAGCCAAGCACGCTGAACGGCCCTAAACCCTCAACCCTAAACCCTAAACCAGTCCTGAAACCCACATCATGGCCAAAAGATCGCGCCTCCGTTCGGAGGCATGCCTCCTTCCCGCCTGAAAGTCCAAATGGCTTCATGTAGAGGCCTAAATAATTACC